GTCCGCGGGCGCGTCGGCGGCCGCCTGGACGGCCCGCGCCACGTCGGCCCCTCCACGCTGCCCCGTACAGTTCAGCGATCGGGGGGGCCAGCGCGTGATCGGGGCCACCTTCAGCGCCGCTGCGACTCGCCGACCGGCTCGACGTGCTCGCCGCCCCCAAATCGCGCCAGCTGGATGCGCAAGTCCCCCGCGCCGAGGCGCGCGTTCCGGCGCGCGCTGGCAGTGCCCAGAGCGAACTTCCCAGCGATGACGACGTCCTCTTGCTGAGGGGGCTCCTGCCGTCGAGCGCTGGCGATGCAAATCATCGCCGGCGCAATCCTGGGCGTCGCCCTCCTGCATCTGGAAACGGACGGGGCGCCTTGACCTGGGGCGCATGCCGCTCACGCGGAAGGGGGCGGCCGCCTTAGCGCGCGCCCCTAGACGCCGCCGGCGCAGGCCATCAAGCGTGGCCCCCACGCAGTCCACCGCATGGGCGCGCAATTGCGGCCGCGCAAATCCCCGGCGTCGGCGGCGCGCGGCTGCCCCCCTGCTGCTCGCCAGTGGAGATTGCGCTGTCGTGCCGCAGGCCTTGATCCCAGCGTCGTAGCCGACGACGCCGGTCACTAGCTTCTCTCGCAGCAGCCCGAGCGCCCCCGGGGCCTGCCACCGGCTGATTCCGCGAGGCCCCGCGCGGATGCTTCGCGAGGCCCTGGCGTCGCGCGAGAACTGGATATCGCAGGTGGCCCGGATGCCGCGCGGGGCCTGGCTTTCGAACGAGGCTCGGATATCGCGCGGGGCCATGATGCCGCGCGATGTCTGGATATCGCACTGCCACGCGGTCAAATTCGCGCATGTCTGACTGCCCGGCCTCGACGTCGCCCGATGCCTGGACGTCGCCCGCGAAACCGGCGCTGCCGAGGTTCCGCTTGGCCAAGCACGCGAAGAAATGCCCGGCCCCGATGTCGCCCGAGACCTGGGCGTCGTCGGCGGCCTCGGCCTTGCCGAGGCCCGGCGCGGCGAGGCCTGCGCGGGGCAGCATGGCCCTGGCGCCGCTCGAGACCCGGGCGTCGAACGGGCGCGGGTCAGCCAAATTGGCGAGGCTCGGCGCGGACGAGTTCGCGAAGGACCGCACGGCCTCGGCGTCGGTCGGGCGAGACCTGGGTTCGGAGCAGGCATGGGTCGATCAAATCGATGAGGTCCCGGGCGGCCTGGACGTCGCCCGCGACCTCGGCGCCGCCGAGGCTCGGCGCGGCCGCGCGCGCGAGGGGCTGCGCGGCCAAGGTGCGACAAAAAACGCAGGCCGGTCAACTTCGCAAAGCACCGCGCGCCACGGACGCCCCCCGAGACATGCGTCCTGGCATGACATAATTCTAGCAAGAAGAAGCTCGCGGAAGACTGCGTGGCCGCGCTGTCGCCTGACGGCGAGCGGCCGCTCCCCGGCTGCTTGCCGGCGAAGATCGGGCGATGCTGGCCCGGCGGGGTGCCGGGGGGCCGTGGTCGTCGAGCGCAACGACGAAGTCCTGCCTGGCGACGCGTCGCCGACGCAATCCTGGGAGTTGCACTTGCGCGTCTGAAACGGACGGGGCCCTCTGCCCCGGGCACTTGCCGCTCGCGCGGATAAGGGCGTCTGCCTTCGAGCGCGCCGCTGGGCGCCACCGCCGCGGGCCGCCGAGCAAGGTTCCCACGTCGTCCGCGGAAAGAGCGCGCAGCCGCGGCCGCGCGGACGGGCATAGCGCGGCTGCTCTTCGAGCGCGGCGTCGCGCTCCGCCCCGCCCTTCCTGGGCTTCGGCAAAGCGTCCCACGCGCGGGCGTCGGGGTCGAGCTATTGTTCCCATCTGTCCTGCTCAACGGTGCGCCGCTGGTGCACGTCGTCATGGTCCGCGACGCGGCAATCGAAGCGGCTCTCGCGCCTCTCGCGGGCGCCAGCATAGAGCTTGTGCTCCGGAGCGCGATGCTGCGCAAAACTGCGGTGCCAGTGTCCGTCGCGTTGCTCGCGATGTGATGCTCGAGTCAGCAGCCGCCCCGCTCGCGAACGTCAGGGTCGAGCTGCTGCTCTCTGGCGCGCTGCCCGACGTCGCCATGCTGGCGCTCGTCGCGGTGGTCAGCGACACAATACTTAGGGCAGTACTCGTCCTCCTCGTGGGCGTCAGGCCCGACGCGCTGTCTCCGACACGACGCCCGACCATGCGACGCCGCCGCCCGTCGCGGTGCTCAGCGACATGGCACTCGAGCCCGATCTCGTCCCAAGCATGGACGTCGGGGTAGAGACGGGGCTCGGCGACATGCTGCTTCACGGCGAGATGCTCGTACCCGTCGCGTTGCTGGTGCTCGCCGTGGTGGCCAACGACGAGGCACGCGAGGCAATCCCCGTCTCTCTATCGTGAACGTCAAGGTCAAGCTGCCGCTCTCCAACGTGCTGCCACACGTCGAGATATTGTTCCCATCCGTGCTGATTACCGACGTAGGACCCGAGGCTGTACTCGCCCCGCTCGTGGACGCCAGGGTCGGGATGCTGCTCTCTGGCGCGCTCGTCGACGCGACGATGCGCTGCTGGTGCCGGTCGTGGCGCTTCGCGACGGGTTGCTGCTCTCCGAATCGAAAAGATGCTCGAGGAGCTAGTTCCCGTCGTGCTGCTCAGCGACGCGGTACTCGAGGCAATATTTGTCCCACTCGTGGACGCCAGGGCCCCGCTGCTACTCCCCGACGTGCTGCTCAAGATCGAGGTGCCAGTGCCCGTCGTGGCTGTTGAGGCTGCCATCCTGCTCTCCAGCTTCTTCTCGCCACCGCCTGCTGCGCAGGGCCAAAGCCTGCCCCCGCGGCACGACCGTCTCGCAGCGCTGGCGCTGATTCCAACCTTGAAGCGAATGACGCTGGTTTCCAGCTTCCTTTTGCCGCAACTTGCGGCACTGTGCTGGAGCCTGCTGCGATGGCTCACCGCTCTCGCACCGCAGGCGCTGACTCTGGCGTTGTAGTTGTGGGGACTGGTCTCCAGCACTGTCTTCTTGCCGCAGCTCGCTGACCAGCGCCAAGGCCTCCTGCCGCGGCTGCCGCGGTTCGGTCGTCTCGCGGCACAGGCGCTGATCCCAGTGTCGTAGCCGATGGCGTTGTCTTCCAACTCCCACTCGAATCGGCTCTCTGAGCAGCGAGGGGGCCCCCACCGGACGCTGCGATCGTCGGAGGTCCATACCCCTCCGCCCTTCCCGCCCGCACACGTGCACGAGAGTAGCGCGGGCGTGGTCTCGAAACCTCAACCATCCTCCATAGGGCCCACCGCGATCGGGCCCCCCCTCCCGCCCTGGACCCTCGCCCCCGCCCGCGGCGAAAGGATGGGGGCCCACGCGCAATACGGGGGGTCCTGCCGTGGCGGCGCCCACCGGAGGGTGGGGGTTCAAGACTATTGCTGACGCTCACCACAACGTCATGTTGGGACTCCGACGGCATGCTGCTCGCTGCGCTGCGGCTGGGCCCCCGTCCCGTTGGGTCGCATGGGGGCTCCGCCGCTGCCTGCGCTTGCGCCCACTCTGCCACCAGTGGCCTCAGCAGCCCCAGGGCAGGTGCAAAGGGCCCTTCTCATCGACCCGCCGCCTCGCGGCGTCGAGGGCGCAGGCCCAAGGGCCGGCTCCAGTGCTCGCCCAAATTGCAACAGACGTCGGACAGAGAAAGAGGACACACTTTCGTGTTGGCACACGGGGCCGTCTGTTCCTTGCACGCCGTCAACGAAGCACGGAAGGACTCCATACAATCGAATTGACCTGCACCCGGAATTAACATCTTTCAAACCTAGCACATGCGTGATGTTTGCACGCCTCCTCCTGGTCATCCTCATCCTCCCGCCTGAGCGCGGGTGTTCGGCGCCTACCGTGCTGGAGCGCTTGTTGGCGCGTGCGCACTTGCGAGAGAAGGGGCTCGCCCCTGCAAGGCCCAGAGATAGACTGATGCCATTGCCAGTGTACCACGCAGCTTGTAGTTTGATGTAGCAGAACCAGTTGACGACGTGTTGGGCTCGACTTACGTCTTGCCTTGTCTTGCCCTCCTCCTCATCCTCCTCGTCCATGGTCGCGAGGTTTGCCGACAGGCTTCCCGTAGGAGGCTTGGCGTGGCTCCCACGCAGGGGGCTCGTTGTGCCAACCAGCCCAAGGAGACCGCAGCCCAACTCAAATCAGTCATCGCGCTGCCAGAACGAACGCGTAAAAAACACGAAGAGGCCTTTCTGGCCATGGCGATCCTCGGCTACGGATTGGTTCCACGACCTAAGCCCAAGGAACGGCCGACAACCGGACCCCCTCCAGGATCGAGCTGGTCCTTTTTGTTTTTCTCTCAGAGCCTCGACTCATACGCAGCGCAGGAAACGTGAAACGCAACGCCCGCGCATCGCTGCGGCCCAGCTGCGTATCTCCACCAAGCGCGGCGGCAGATATGCGCGGCAGGGCAACTGGTAGACATCATCATAACCAGCATCATCAGCAGCATCATCATCAGCATCAGCATCAGCATCATCATTATCACCACCATCACCACCGCCATCATCACCAACAACAACAGCATCAGCATCAGCATCACCATCACCATCACCATCAACAGCATCAGCATCCTTATCATATCCATTATCCCCATCACCATCCTCAACAGCATCAACACATCATCATCATCATCACCATCAACAACAACATTAAGAGCAACATCAGCACCACCATCATCAGCATCCTCATTAGCATCATCCTCCTCGTCATCAGCATCATCATCAGCAGCAGAAGCCGCCCTCCTCCTCCTCCTCCTCCTCCTCCTCCTCCTCCTGTTCCTCATCCGACTTATCAACCCTTCAAATCCACACTGGCAGTACCCACCGTCCTCCTCCGCCGCCTCCTCACCGTTCTCGCCCTCCTCCTCCTCCTCCTCGTCCTCCTCCTCCTACCCCATCCCCATGTTTATCCTCCTCCGTACCCCCATCTATCTCTATCTCCTCCACATCCCACTCCACAATCTCCTCCCTCCTTCCACCGACAACACCGTCCCAAGGGTGCCTATCTCAGAATCCCCTGGGAACGTCGGGTGGCTGGTGGCCATCTCGGCGAGGATGCATCCAGCAGACCAGAGGTCCACCTCGGGG